TGGTTCTCCCTTGCTGTACTCCTTGCATTACCAGATTCTTCTCTGTTTCCTTCACCAAAGACTTTGTTGATCGATCGAGCTTCATTTTCTGTAAGATGTATTTGATTTTCCGGTTTTGATTCTTTCCCAGCATTAGATACTTCACGAAGATACTTGTCCCAATCACCACCGGTAAAAAAATTGTCGACAGGATTACCTGTTGCTTTCGTATCCATATCCATAATAGAGTCTGGTGCAACATGCCCTGTTTCTTCATTGGAATTCCAATTCACACCACCAAAACTCGATTCATTGGTATCAACAAAATTATCATAATGGTGTTTCAACAAGAAATCATCCTTCTTATCAAGTTTTGAGCCCGAATTAAAGAAGAAGTAAAGCAATAAGAACCATAAAAGAAACACGACCGTAAAATACCAGAATTTGCTGCAACCCTTTTTAATTATCGGCACCTTCTTCATCAATCCCTCTTGATCATGCATGTATCTATTCTTCTCGATAAGCACTTGCTGTAAGAAATGGGATAGAAGAGAGAATCAGCTGGGATTTGGTGTTTAAGGATATGAAAGAAAAAAAGAAATGCACGTAGGAATTGATTAATTTCTAGGGAAGGGATTTCCCTTCAGAAAGAAAATATTATAGAGAAAACCAATGATAAGGAAACAAGAGAGAAGCTCTATAATTGTGGTGGCGTTGAAGCATTCAAGGATTTTGATCCATAGAATGTTCAGAGAATAATTAACCAGTTTTAAGTGTCTAGTCTGTCCTTAATTGTAACTTACTTGATCAAACAAAAATATATCAACGATAATAATAGTTAATTAATAAACAAAGATCATTAAATTCATGCTGATATTTACAATCCAACAGTTCAGAGCGAGCGAGGGTATTTTTTTTGAACGGGCAGCGGGTTTTCTTTTCTTTTTAATTTCTTCTGAATTGGTGCTTCTAATTAAATCATCAACAAGCACATAAAAAACAAATATATATATATATAGATAGATAGATAACTAAACTAAATATTCCCTTTTATTAATAATAATACTAAAAAGTTGTTTGAAAATATTGATAGTGGTTGTCCTGGTTCAAAGTATTTTTTGTGTGAATATATATTAAAATAATATATTATTTTATTTTTTTAAAAGTATTCTTGACTTTAGCATATTTAAATAATTTAAAAACATTAAAAAAATATTTATTTTTTATAAATAAAATTTAAATTTTAAAAAAATATAATTTCAATTGCGTTTCCAAACACTTTATAAGTTTTTTTTATGTAACTTGTGTTATATATTTTTTTTTTATTTTTGATAATAGTACATTCAAACAATCTAAAAATATTTATACAATATTAATTTTAAACAAAGAAATTTTTTAATTTTTTTTAAAACATGATTTTAATGATGTTTTGGGATACTCTATAAATCTTTTTAGGTAATTTGGTGGCCTTGGAAGGCCACTTGGGCTAGGTGATTGCATTTTCAGATTTTTAAGGGGAAAAAAAAAGATTGATGTTAGGCAGCAATCCACCATATGCTGAGAACTTTCCAAGTTCTCCATCATTCCTCAAATCCAACAACAGATACCTTACTACTATTTTGTTCTTCATGTTATCCCTTGATGCATTTTGAACAAGCTCTAAAACCTAATTAACCCACATAAAATATAAAAAAGCTAACACAGAGAGTTAGGAACATACCCTCATATCTCTCGGTCAGACAAGACAAACAACACAAACTTATACTTGAGAACTTCAGCAGAAAGCTTATTGTTTGTAGCTTGATCAAATAAAATCATGTTGTTCACCTTCTTCTGTGCTTCACCTCCTTCCATTTCTGCATATCAAACCCTTACATCTCATTAAAAATAGCATACAATCATATAGAATCCTTAAAAACGAATAAACATGTTCAGACCATTAGCCTTTTTTGTATCCCATCTCGTTTAGAAATGCAATGAAAATCATGTTTTATAATTTTTTAAAATTTTTTTGTTTAGTTTTAATATTTTTAGATTATTTTGATGTACTGGTACAAAAAAATAATTTTTAAAAATAAAAAAATATTACTTTAATACATTTCTAAATAAAAAATACTTTAAAAAACAATAATTATTACATTCTCAAACATACACACTATATTAGAAGGATATAAAAGATACTTTGAAGTCAAATGAATTACTCTATGCACTACAACTCAATGCATTATATTTAAAAATATAGTTATGGTTGATTTTTAAAGTGTTTTTCATGTTGAAATATATCAAAATAATTTTTTTATTTTTTAAAAAATTATTTTAAGATTAATGCATCAAAATGATTTAAGATATATAAAAAATGTAATTTTTAATATAAAAAATTAAATTTTTTAAAAATATAAATACAACCATATTTTTAAATACTTACTTAAATGGCTGCATAAATTCCTCACAAAACTTAATCGAATGTCAAGCAACTAATTCAAAGAACAAAAAGGATAAAACTATGATAATAATTCATAAATATTATAACCACAAAACACATCATCACCACTAAACACTAGTTGATTTAATAATAGACAACAGTTTATGACAATCTATTTTAAAAGCTGCCCTAAGATCAACATATAATTTCACAACAATTAAATGCTAAGGTCTGTTGCCTCAGTAGCCCTCATGTCATCATTTAGGAAAAAGTAAGCTAAAAATGAAATCAGGCAATCTATTACGAGAATAATTTTATAAAAAAAATAAAAAAATAAAAAAAATAATTTTTTAATTAATCTATTGTGTGAAATTAAAAATAATAAAAAAATTAAAACATTCTAATTAAACTGTTAAACTTATGATTTAAATTATAAAATTAAGATAATTCTGTAAAAAAATTTACAAAATTTAATCTTTAATAAAACTAATATTGAAAGATGGTGTAATTAAAAATAAAACAATTTAAAAATAAATCTAAAAGAAGGGAGAAATAATGAGGAGGGCAGCATAGAAATTAAAAAAGATGTTTAAGGACAAACCAGCCTTTTCGAAAAAAATTACAAACCCTAGGTTTCCATCAGATAAATACCACACTCGAAGGACTGGCGAGCCGTCTCTCTTTCACTCTGTTAGATTCGTAGCAAATTCAGGGTTTAAGGAGAATCAATTCGAAATCAAAATGGGAGTTTTCACATTCGTTTGCAGGTGCTCTGGTAACGAGTGGAGTGCCAAGCAGATCGCCGAAGGCGATATTGAGGCCTCCGCTTCCTCCACCTTCGAGCTGCAAAGGAAACTTGTCCAATCTGCTCTCTCCGCTGATTCCTCTGGCGGCGTCCAGTCCTCATTCTCTTACGTCACGCCTTCATCCGCCGTTTTCCAGGTCCTCACATTTTCTCTCTTTATCGTTTTGTTTATTTTCTTGCTTTAAAGTACAATTATTTGATTTAGTATCTCATCATGAAGTATATCTTTTGTCCGTTTTGTTAATAAACCTTTTGCTGTTTGTTCAAACAGTTAAGGGTTTTGAAGCATCATCTCATAACCATAAATGCATGTATGTGTGTTGGCTTGCACTGCAGTGAGAAACTTATTCATCTGATCTTTTTCAAGTTATTTTTATTTAATTGAACAATTGTTTCTAATTTGGAATATAATTTAGTTATCTAAATTAGAATTTGTAGGCAAGAATAGTTGTCATATGAGAGTGCAAAATATATGTGGATTTGGCATTCGATGTTAGTTTTAGTTGTCTAATGAGGTGGGTAAATTTTGTTTGGTGCAGGTGATCATTGGTGGTGGCTGCGGTGGAGCCTTCTTTGGCGGTGGTAGTGGAGGTGCAGCAGCAGCTCCAGCAGGAGGTGCAGCAGCTGCAGCTGAGGCACCTGCTGCTGAGGAGAAGAAGGAAGAGGAGCCAGAGAGTGATGATGATATGGGATTCTCTCTTTTTGATTAAGGCGATTGCTTAGTTAATGTGTCGTCGTTGATCTGTCTTGTTTCATTCTGTATGGTTTTGACTCATGTTGCAAAATTTTACTAGCCCTGGTGAATTGGATTTAGATCAGATTAAGTGTTTTTGGATCAGAGGTGGGTATATTGAATGAGTTTATATTTAGCATTTTATCATGTTTTAAGCTTCTGGTTGGTTATTGGAGTGTCTCTTGTTATGTGTCCGCTTGGCTGGCTCTTGTGATGCATGCGAATCGGTTCCTGCCTCTGGTTTGATAGTTGATTTAACTAGAGTGTGGTTTTCTTTATTAAAGTTTTGGGATTAGCATGACTTCGTTTGCAAGTGTTGTGTTCAATGCAATTGTGAGATTCGACTTGGCTCCAACCTCCGATCTTAATAACATTTAATACAATTAGGGATATCCTTACTCCTAAGATTTGTGTTTTGAAAGGTTCTAGCATGCTGAATGAAAGATTATCAATAGTATTTCCAATGTTTCACACCCCTTCAGGAGGATAGCCACAGATGCTTCCGATGTTAGTATGTTGCAGCTTTTTCTCGTTTTTTTCCGTTTCAACCACAAACCCTCAATGGTAACAGGGTGCATGTTAAAGCAAACTCCAGAGCAACAAATTTGCTTAGGCCTTGACATTACTTCTGGATTCATCATTGTTGCCGGTAATATAGTTGGAAGGATCGTGGAAGATCCTTGCAACTTGCATGAAGACTCCCTATATCAATGGCGCTTGTATTACTTCTTGAGAATTATTTGAGGCAGCTCTCAGACCAAGATTGTTTGTCTGGGATGCAAGCTCAGCTGTTTAGGGATTTTCTTTCGCGCTAAAAAAAAAAAAAGGGCACTTGGTTTTAATCGCCCGTCTGTCCGATTCTGGACCAATTTTCATGCTTCGTAGCTCTTAATAGATGACTTCGCAAGAGTTATTAGCATGTTGAATCGGCTAGAGCTATTAGCTTCACCTGAATTTTTTTATGATGATTCAGAGGTTTGGAAATATATTTTTTCTTTTTATATTATCGATATTCAGGTGTCCCTCCTCTTCTTTTTCTTCGTCTTTCTTTTAATTTAATTCTTAAAATGCGAAAGCTTCTTGCTTTGCCTGATGATGAAATCCCTAGATCACTCCTCGATATCGATATGTATGTTGCATATTACATTTCCTGTAACCATAACATATGGACCCTCTCTCTCTCTCTCTCATGTATGCACCTCCTATATGAATTTAAGCTTTGGAATAGAGCTGATCTTTTACCATTTAGAAAATAACTCTTCCATTGCTTTCATTAATGTTTTGGAATTGAACAAGAGGTCTCAACTTTGATAATTTTGCTGCTTGGCAAAATCAGTCTTTTGTTAAATGGAATAACCTAGATTTCTGTAGTGAAATTAACTGGACTGAAAGACCATGGACGAGGTAGCTAGAATAGTGCTTCAGGGGAGAGCCAAACACGAGTCAGGATTCAGGACCACTGACTTATCCAACAAGATTTTAATTAAGCATTTCTTGATATTACTTCTTCCCTTGCATATTCAATAAGACTTTATTTTGTTGCTGTGGTTTATCCTTTTAATATGCCTGAGTGGGGCGTTAGCTTTTTCTACCTCAAGCATTTGTTGTTTTAAAACCTTGAATTTCTGATACTATTTATTATTTTTTGGTTAATCATGCATTTACATATCATGGCCATGTCCGCATCTGCAAAATTTAGTTCCAGAGTTTTTGACCCTTGGATTCAAATATTTACTGTGATTATTTTGGACTTTTTCAGGCTGCGGATCAGGACTTTGTGGGGAGGCATTAACTGAAAATGGTCATCGATGCAAGATTTATTGTTATTACGATGGAATATGCAATCAAACTTGCAAGCTTATTTTCCATGGGATTCAATTTATATTTATCAATGGAATGATTATCTTTTGTTGCAGGGCATACCACTTCGACACCTGGAGTTATTGATGGTGCCATCAGTATTTCAGCTGTTCAGGTTTTACTCTCTAGTATGCTTTTGACATGTATGCATGTACTATGCAAGTGTTTTTTTTTAGAACTTGTCCATAAAATTCATTTGCAATTCAGTATTCTTGGCGAACCTCATCTAATTCTTACTATGCTTCCCGTAGTCATCTTCTGACATTCCACCTATACGAAGTTATTTCAGTTAGGCATAGGCTTGTCTTTTGCTCATCCTGTTTAACTTGCATTTTCCTTGTGTTTTTTAATTAACACATCACTTAATAAAAGAAATAAAAGGTTGACATTCATGAATTAGTCATAGCCTTCCCTTGAAAAAGAGGAAATTGTGGAGCAAGTTACAGTTTTTCAAGGCAAAACGTCTGATACATTGCTAAATTTAGTTTTTAGTTGGAAGGTCATGACTAGTCTCTCTCCTTACCCTACCTGTTTATTACTTCAACTAAGGACTAGGAGCCAAAGCATGCTTATGCTTTACCCCTTCCTTTCTTACTGAGATTTTTATAGAGAAAGTAAATTAATGTTGCAAGGCGGACCATTCTAGATGGCAGGAATTTTTAATCGGACAGACAATTAGCAGTAAATCTTAAGTGGTTGGATGAGTGGGAAAAATGAGATTTTGGGGAGGATGTTTTAGAGAAGTTATGATATTAAAATTACGGGTCTATGGTTTCCCTGTGAAAGTCACTAACTGAATTTGATTTGTTTCTTTAATTTTTATTTCCATAATACATAAACTTGAACCTCTATTCTAATAGAACTGTCAATGTTTACAGAATTGCACTCTGGAGCTGGTAAGCTGGTCTGGTGATGCTTCTCCTAGCCTCTTATATTTCCATATCTTTTTGCATTTCCTTTGTATGGGTTGTTTGTCTATGGAGTGCCTTTTGCTAACCTTATTCTTTTGACTTTCAATTTGGCTCCTAGTGGTTATGCAAAGCCGATAAGTCCTTGCATGAGCCAAAACTAAGACTGAAGCAAGTTCCTTCTCTTCTCTTTTCTGTTTTTGGTTCATGTAGTCTGTCAACTATCAAATCTTGTTTGGGGTCAACTTTGGGCTTGGTTTCTTCTGTATATTTTTAGAGACAAAACTGGGGTTCATTAATGAAAAGAAATAAAGTTTAATACATCTATTACAGACAACTCAAAAATAAGGCCAGAAACTTGTTCTCGAAAAGGACAATCTCTCGGTTCCCTGATGTGTTGTGAGCTAGATAATGAGCTAAATTTCTAGATTGTTAAGGAATGAAGCTGAAACTTGAGTCCTGGAAGTTTGAGCCAATGCCTCTGATATCTGCAATGGTGAGTCCAATATAAGTTGCCTGGGGTCTGCTTCTGCTGTTTACTACCATGCTGACAGTCTGAATGTCACTTTTAATATCTAATTCAAGCAAACCTGCATCCCTGACCAGCAGAAATCAAAATAAAATTGCTCGAGCTTCAAAAAATTCCACTGATGCTTGACCGCTTAGTGTTTTGATGCATCCCTAATGTTCATTCCCTCTTCATCGCAGACACCACCACCCAAACCAACTGAGCTTCCATCAAACATTGCAGCCTCAGTATTGAGTTTATATAGAGGAGCTTGCAAAGGGATCCACGCTCAAGCTTACAAGAAATTCAATTCGACTATACTCACAAATTTAAACAAATTTTGTTGCATTCGATTAGATTTCAATCAACAGTAGCTAATGATCAACATTACCCATTTGATTTAGTATCTTTGAATCACTGACGCCTATTTTTTCCCCATTGTTAAATCGAATGATGTTTTTATCGCAGGGCATTCTTTGGATCATTATATAGATTTAGTATCTTTGAATCACTGACGCCTATTTTTTCCCCATTGTTAAATCGAATGATGTTTTTATCGCAGGGCATTCTTTGGATCATTATATAGATGTTTGGCAAGAGGAGCGAGAGCAGTGTTTCAAGTGTATCCTGAAAACATAGCCCAGCGTGAATTAATTTTGAGACCTGCAATGCATGCTGGATTTGCTGGTGGTGTGGTTATTGATTACCCACACAGGTATGCTAGCCTCTATTTAAAACTCTCATGATGGGCTTTTTATGACTGATAAGGAGAAGCTTAGAAATATTGTTTTTCATATATTAGGTTTTCGCTTGGCTTTGATCGTTCCAGCCCTTTCCAACCCTGTAGCCTGAATGTTCGGGTTGGGATTAAAAGCATATATCCATAGAAGGTTGCAACTTTTTCAAGAATATGAACCTTGAAACCATGATGTGCTAGATGCTAATTGTCTGCTAATCTTCATTTCATCATGCACGGGCATTCACCTCTCTATCAATTTGCTTTACATTCTGATATGTCATTTTCTTGGGCTGCTTTGTCTTGTATTTTTTGTTTTGTTCAGGCGTCAACTGGGATTGTTTGTAAGCATAGTATCCTTTTCTTTTTAATATGGGGGTTTTCATTCACTAATTATTATATATGCATTTACCGTGGGAATGCAGGTATGCATTCCAGACAAGAACAGACCTAAGAAAAAACGGAAAATAACCAGGAAAGGGTAGTACAGAGAATGGATATTTAAAAAGAAAGAGCAACTGAGAATAAAAGGAAACGTTGTGCCTCCTGACACCAGATACACTGGTCGAAAACGAAAGGATCGATTTTGATCCTTACATTACATGTGAAGCCATCCTATAGGAAAACTATACATATAAATCATCATGTATGCTGACCTTCATGCATTTCCTTGCTCGTTCCTGCTGCTGCTCGGTGAATCCATGCTGAAGATCAATCACATCGTGTAGATAGCCAGCATAGAATACTTGATCAGGCAAGTGTGAAATCAGAGGGCGGAAAATGATTTTTCTAGCCAACGCATGAATCTAGTGTCCATCTATTTCTTATAATATATCTATCTATTAGTTACAAACAGCTTGAGCATACTTAACATACGGTTTCTTCTTTTCCTAGATGACCAAGGCAGAGAAACGAACCCCCCCGCCGTGTTTTGTTACTTTACGCCAAGATGAAAAACAAACAAACACAAACCGGAGAAGTACGCAAGCCATACACTGCAAATGTTGTTGATCACACAAATGGGGACACAGTTTGGTTCGTGAACCTTACTGCGTCGATGAAAAGGCCGAATGGAGAACTTTTGGCAATGATGATGAGACTGATGAACATGATCCCAACCGCGGTGTTTCTCTCTCAAACCCTCTTTTAACTCATACCACACTAACAGCTACAATCTCCAAGCCTGCCAAAGGGTATTGATGCTGCTGCTACTGTTGTCGCATTTTCCAAGAACTGGTTCGAAACCATTCAATCAATAGCTAGTAATTTAATGTATCTCTGAAAATAGTGTTCTAAAATGTTTTTTTTGTTTGTTAATATATTAAAATAATATTTTTTATTTTTAAAATTTATTTTTTACATTAGTATATAAAAAAATTTAAAAATAAATTTAATTTAAAGCAATTTTTTTTTCAAAACATAACAAAACAACAATTCAATTATAACACCAAATATTATCGAGTCTTGTGCAATTGATTATTTCAAGGGTAAGATACAAAGCTCTATTTGAAGCAAATTTTTTTTTTTAATACACTACTTAAATTATAGACTGAATTGGATCAAATAAGATAAGTGTAATTTAATTAGATAAAAACAAATGAATTAAATTTAAAAATAAAGTTTATTAGGATAACTTGAAGATTTCTTTTTAAAGAAACAAATGATATATCTCAATTCATAACTTATTAAATACAAAAATAAACTTAATTTTATCAGAATTTGGTTTCTCAATATAATTAATATCTTTTCATCAATAATATTTTGATTTAACATTAAAGGATATATTATGTCTACCATGTTAAATCATGTTTGTTTTGTACATAATAGTTATTGATCGTTTGAATAAAATTTAAAACTCCTTTTAAATTTCATTTTATTTTGACTAATGATTTCTTAGTCAATATTATTTAAGAATAGATGAAATATTTTTTATAATTCATATAGATATAGGGTGATGAATATTTTCTTGATCACTCAAGTACGATCATATAGTTCATGTTACAATCAATATCTCTCTTTTTTTTGTTACCTTAATTAAGATAACATATAACATTATCAAAGTATAGCATTTTCTATATAAGACGACTTGGTGATCTCAAGTTTAAGGATCACTTAAATAACCATCACGAGAGTTTTTTCATAGATATAAGTGATATCTTCATATGTAATTTTTATACGAGTCAGTTTAGTGTACATG